AGGAATCCCCTGGTGGCACAGTGGTTAAGAATCCACCTGCCAACGCAGGGGACACGGGTTCGAGCCCTGGTCTGGGAAGATCCCACATGCCACAGAGCAACTAAGTCCGTGCACCACAACTACTGAGCCTGCACTCTGGAGCCCACAAGCCACAACTATTTAAGCCCGTGCTCCTAGAGCCTGTGTTCGCAACAAGAGAAGCCACCTCAAGGAGAAGCCCACATACCACAACAAAGAGTAGCCCCCACTCATCACAACTAGAGAAAGCCTGTGCGCAGCAATGAAGACCCAATGCAGCCAAAAATAAATAAATAAATATATTTTTAAAAAATAAAAATAAAAATTGGGTTGCCTTTAAAAAAACATAATAGAAAAGAATATAAAAAAGAATGCATATTTTGGGACTCCCCTGGTGGCACAGTAGTTAAGAATCCGCCTGCCAAGGCAGGGGACACAGATTCGAGCCCTGGTCCAGGAAGATCCCACGTGCCATGGAGCAACTAAGCACGTGTGCCACAACTAGTGAGCCTGTGCTGTAGAGCCCGCGAGCCACAACTACTGAACCCATGCGCCTAGAGCCCGTGCTCCGCAACAAAGACAAGCCACAGCAATGAGAAGCCCACGCACCGCAACAAAGAGTAGCCCTCGCTCGCTGCAACTAGAGAAAGCCTGTGCACAGCAACGAAGACCCAACGCAGCCATAAATAAATAAATAAATTTATTTATTTAAAAAAAGAATGCATATATATGTATAACTGAGTCACTTTGCTGTACAGCAGAAATTAAGACAACATTGTAAGCCAACTGTACTTCAATTAAAAAAAGAAAGAGAGGGGTTTCCCTGGTGGTCCAGTGGTTAAGAATCCGCCTTCCAATGCAGGGGACGTGGGTTCGATTCCTGGTCGGGGAACTAAGATCCTGCATGCTATGCGGGGCAACTAAGCCTGCATGCCACAACTAGAGAGAAGCCCGTGCGACGCAACAAAGAGCCCGCGAGCCGCAACGAAACTCCCGCGTGCTGCAACTAAGACCTGATGCAGCCAAAAAGAAAGAAATAATTTTTTTTTAAAAAAAAAGAGAGAGAGAGACAAAAGAAAACCAGCAGCAATCGCTAAGCACAGGTGGTTGAAGGGCTGAAGATGGCTTGACTCAGGCCTGACCAACCAGGCCCAGCACAGCCCCTGGAGGCCAGGCCAGGCCAAGCTTCTGAGCCTGCTAATGTCTTACAGACCCTGGTCCCCCAGGCCAAAGCATTAAGTATATAAACAGCCAAAACACCTTCAGAGGACCCTCTGCCAATTCACACCAAATTTAAATGGTGCGTATGAACCAACCAAAGTTATGTTCAAAGTTCCACTGAAAAAGGGCAATAAAGACTGTGAAAGTCTTCCACACAAAGAATAGAAGAGCAGCAAGTTATTCTGTGACCCCTCAGCCCTGGGCTCTTTATCCTAGTCACCGCAGGTGACTAGGATAAATGCAGAAAAAAGCCAGGGGCATCCCTGTTTTCTCAGTTTTGACAAAGACCCACATAAAAGGCTCATTTACCATCTCTCAAGTCAGCGATCTGAAAAGATCTGAAAAACAGCCGTGTGCACACATGTGAAGCAAATGAGGACTGTTGCTCAGGCCTCCCGCCAGGGAACAGGGAGCCTGGACGACACCAGTGAGCACAGTGGGAGCAGCCTCCTGGCTGACACACTCCTCCACGCAGAATCAATGCTGAGAGAAGCACCTGCTGCTGCAGGAAACACATCCCCTGAGCTGAGGTTCCCACCCGGCTCCTCCTCCTGGCAGCGGGCATTCACTAGCTGCCTCTTCACTACCCACTCTCCTCCTCCCTTCCCCGACCCCAATCTTCCCCTGAAGGACCACTCCCCCTGCTGGAGAGTGGTGATGCTGTCTGAATGGGGCACCCCACTTTTCTTCTGGGGTGGCCCTATTTGGTGTAAGCCCAAGAGCAGAGCCTCAGCCCTTGCACAGTGATTATGCTGGAGTGGGCAGGACACACTGGCACACAGCACCCCCAGCCACTCAGGGCAAACTGCAGAACGTTCCTTCAGTGGGAAGCATCTGTTTACAAAACAAGGGAGCCAACCTGAGAGCGAAGCTGGCCGCAGGAAGGCAGAGGCAAAGAAGCATTCAGAAACGGGACAGTTTCTTACAAAAACGAACGTAATCTCAGCATATAATCCAGCAATTGTGCTCCTTGATATTTTACCCAAAGGAAATGAAAACTCACGTCCACACAAAAACCTGCACACAGGTGTTTACCGCAGCTTTAGTCATAACTGCCAAAAACTGGAACCATCAGGATGTCCTTCAGCAGGTGAATGGATAAGTAAACTGTGGTCTATCCAGACAATGCAATATTATTCAGTGTTAAAAAGAAATGAGCTATCAAGCCACGAAAAGACACTGAAAAACCTTAAAAGCATATTACTAAGTGAAAGAAGCCAATATGAATAGGCTACATACTGTATACTTCCAGCTACATGGTATTCTGGAAAAGGCAAAACTGTGGAGACAGTAAAAAGATCGGTGGTTGCCAGGGGTTGGGGGCTGGAGAGGTTAAACACGCCGAGCACAAAGGAAACTACCCTGTTTAGAGTGATAGATACAAGTCACCGAGAGGGAACCCTAATGTAAGCTATGGACTGTAGGTGATTAGTGTAGGCTCATCAGCTGTAACAAATGACCACCCTGGTGGGGGATGGTGATAGTGGGGGAGGCTGTGCATGTGTGGGGGGAGGGGTATATGAGAAACCTCTGTACCTTCCTCTTAATTTTGCTGGTAACCTAAAACTTCTCCGAAAAAAGAAATAAGTCTTTGAAAGAAAAATGGCTGGAGTCCGAATCAAACCACATCTGAAGCTGGGCCTGCCTCTGGACTTTTCACTTACCTGAGCCAACCAATCCCCTTCAGTGTTTAAGCCGGGGTGGGCTGGCTTTTCTGTGACTTTCACACTAATGCATCCTAACTGCACACCCTTGCAGAGCAAGTAGAATGTGCTGGACTCCATATCCTGCTAGTGCTGATGAACAATGACCCTGACACAGGGGACTGTCCACCCGCACAACCGCAAAGGCAGCCCCCAGAAGGACGGGGTCTGAGCACAGGCAGGACTCGTGAGCGCCAGACTCCCACGGCCACCAGCAGCTCCACGAGAGGCAAGTTAAAAACGAACATGTACGAGTCCTTACAGCAACATATTCTATTAATTTGATAGTAAAGGTTATTTATTACAAATAGAGCAAACCAAAGAGAAAAAAAAGCAAAGTTGCTGCTATGACCGACCCCCGACTGAGAACTGAAAAAGTGTGCAGACTGGCTGGTTGGGGGAGGGGTGGCACGCAGGAATTTCTAAAATTAGAAATCAGAATTGAGCTCAATTTGTTTTTCCCTGCAGCCCAGGCCTCAAATTTAATCCCATTTTTAAACTGTTCTAATCAAATATGACAACTTAAAGGTTAGGTCTGAAAAGCTGTGTCAGTTACTAGCCTTACCTATCAGGATAATTTTATAGTATATTCTGCCCTAAAAAGATTGCTAAATCAATAAGGTTTAAAGACAGTGTGAGCAAAAGGCCCACAAAAATTACCTAAGCAGTGTATCTTCAATCACATCACTTAAAGGACATTTAAACCTTAAAAATGTTTAATCCTGTGTTTTATCAGCAAGTGACCAATTTCTCTGCCACAGTAAGCCTGAAGAAGTGATCTGCGCTTTTACTAACTCCACGGGAGAGGCCCAGCACTTGGGGATGTGCTTGCAGACTCTTGATTAAATCAGCAGGGCCACAGGAATTCCAGGCTTTCAAAGTTTCACAGGCAGGAGTATCCAGAACCAGCTACAGGGAAATGAGTGAGAACCGAAGTGCCCACTAAAATCGGCAACAGGCTCCAACTTGAGACCAAATAAACTTCCAGCAACCACAGAAAAGAGAACGAAGAAACAGGTTTCCAAAGTGTTAACAACTTCCCGATAGCACCACTCCACGCCTCCAAAGCCGCATATGTGCCCACGTGCAAAGACTGTGATCACAACTTCAGAATGCTGGGAACTGAATACACAACAGCACAACTCATTTTCTTGGCGGGAGAAAGGTCCAATCCTGGAGCCACAACCACTTTGGAAGTTCCCAAAGTGCTCGGACAACTTGAAGCACATCAGCCTCCTCACCACCACCCCACCCCCCGACCTCTAGGAAGAACCTTATAAGACAGTTACAAAATGCAATGATCCAGAATTCTCTGCGTACTGATGCACTGAAATGTCCACTCTTCTCTTTATTCAGCCAAAAGGATTATGTCTGCCAGGTAAACCACCTTCTGTGCAAGAGGACACAAATTTTACTGCTAAAGGGTAAGGTTTAGGGACTCCCCTGGTGGCACAGTGGTTGAGCGTATGCCTGCCAATGGAGGGGACACAGGTTCGATCCCTGGTCCGGGAAGATCCCACATGCTGCGGAGCAACTAAGCCCGTGTGCCACAACTACTGAGCCAGCGAGCCACAACTACTGAAGCCCACGCACCTAGAGCCCGTACTCTGCAACAAGAGAACCCACTGCAATGAGAAGCCAGTGTACTGCAACAAAGAGTAGCCCCCCCGCTTGCCGCAACTAGAGAAAGCCCGCGCGCAGCAACGAAGACCCAACGCAGCCATAAATAAATAAATAAATAAGTAAATTTATTGAAAAATAAAAAAATAAAAATAAAGGGTAAGGTTTAAATGTCATATCACTTCTAAGAATTCCAATGTTCCTAATGACTTACAAAGCCATATATTTTAGGCTGTTCTTGATAAAAGTGCCCTCAAAATACAAACATTAAAAACATCTAATGACAAACGTGAAGGCATCATGAGTAAAGAGTAAAACCACAATCTGCCCCAGCTCCAGGAGTCCACCCACTTTGGGGCTGAAGGACAAGACCTTTCCCTGCTAGTTCTCCAGGTCTTGGAGGTGAGCACAGAAACGGAGGCCTCGGGTCGGACTCACCTGAACTCTCTGCCTTCGCTGTACCGTCTACTTGAGGAGGCCCTCGGGGCGGCGGTTTCCAGGAGCAGCTTCTGCGTGAGCCTGCCGGGGGGAGCAGGGTCTCTGCCATCGTCTTCGTCTACGTCTTGGTCACATTTCCATTCCTCATCTTCGTTCAAAGTGGGTAGGTATCCAGGTACTCCCTTCCCTGTCCCCGACCCGGAGCTCTGGTCACTGCAGAGCTTTGGGCTCTCCGAGCCTGTCCTCGTGTACTCCAAATAAATATCGGACTTGAGGAACGAGGGGTAGGTGTTCTCCTCCATGGTAGACTGGATTTCCGTCTGGGCCTGGTCGAACATGGCAGGATCAATCTGCTGCTTCATGATGCAGTCCTTTATGAAGCTCTTGGTGGCTGGCTTGGTCTGCCTGGACACAATGCCATTGTTATCGAGGATGTACTTGCGGTAGATAGCTCTGGCCAGCTTCAGCCTCTTCTCCTCATTCGAGTCACAGGGCTCCAGTTTCCTAAAGCCGCTGCAGGCAAACCAGAAGTCCAGGAGATCAGCACAGTCCTCCTGCTTCAGAAAAGTTCTAAACAGGTTTATCCCGTCTTGATCATCCAGTAGGGAGTGCAGCGACTCGGCCCACTTCAAGTACGGAGGGGTGGGCGAAGCGCTGCCCTCAGGCTCGTACCCCAGGTCCAGATCTGAGCGCCTCGGAGTGGCTGTTGAAGTCTCACCTTTAATCCCGGCACCTTTCCCAGAGCAGAAGCTGTGGCTGATGGGCCTGGGGTCCGTGGACACCAGTTCACCCTCCTCACCAGGCACTGGGGGTCGGGGGGCATCTTCAGTGAAACTTGCTCCGAGGTCCAAGGGGAAACCCTGCTCTTGGATATTCATTTTGGGACTCTGTGCGTCAATGAACAATGAGCGCTGCACCCTAATACATCAGTACTTACAGCTCCAAAGTGAATCAATCTGTCCTGTTGAAACCATTAAGAGGACAAGGATTAGGAAAGGTGGGTCCATGGAAACATGACCACAGAGGTTTTCTCAAGACAAGACTCGCAATGATGCCCTCCCGCTCGAACTCAAAGCCAGAAATTCAGTTTAAATTTTCAATCTTTTGTCACAAAAAAGGTTTGTACTATATTAGAACAATTTCTGGAAACTTTTCCAACTACAGGAATGCCTCTGGCACTAAGAAATGAATGTCCAGAACACAGAGAGCGCCACTACCCTCAAGTGTCATTCTGTGAGAACAAAGAGAGACTAGCAGCCCATCCCAGCTACAGAGCTGCATGGCCAGTCCCTCTCCTCAGGCTCCAGGAAGGCAGAAGGACTGGAGGAAAGAGAGGTGCTTCTGGTCCTCCCAGCTGTATAAACCTCACATGAAAGACGAGGATGTGTATCTGAGTAGAACAGGGTCGCTGTGATACTCAGATATGGCACATCACTCACCAGAAGGCAGGCGGTCTGCTCTCCACTCCACACTCTCCAGGCCCACAGCCACTGTGCTTCCTGCTGCCCCATTACTTCACACTTACTGTGCCTCACAACATATGCGAACACACAGCAACTTGTTCCTCTAAGTCTCAACACGCCCAAAAGAGCAGTTAACCGTGGGTCGTTTTCAGCATCTTCAAGTGAGTGACCAAAGGACATCACTCACATGCACAGGCACAGGGGCCTTCTCACGCTGCCAATGATGTGGACAGTCTTTTTTTTTTTTGCGGGATCTTAGTTTCCTGACCAGGGATTGAACCTAGGCCCTCAGCAGTGAAAGCACGGAGTCCTAACCACTGGACCGTCAGGGAATTCCCGTGGACAGTCTTAAAAACGCTTCATCAGAAAGCTGCTCTCGACTTTAAAACCTTGCTTAAAAGGAAAGTGTCCTTCTGATAGCAAATGACAATTGAGTACTCTGAGGAGCAGAGAAGGTATAGAACAAACGAAATCCAAACACAATTAGCCAAGGAAGCATACAGCTCACATGATTCAACTCCATAAAATGAAAAACAAATTACCCACCCTCTTAGAGGTCAGGTGACTATGGGTTTTGTTTCTGCTGTCAGATGCCTGTCTTGTATGAGGGAGGACTGTCCTGGACCGGGACTCTGCCATGGTCTTTGGTCCTCCCTGTCACTGAGCCCACAAGCTCAGGCTACACCTCCCCACCTGGCCTGCTGGATGTAAGTGGTCTGCCTAGAAGGAGACTGGAGAGAAGCATGACAGGTCCAAATGCCTAAAGCACTGAACAAGCCAGAGGGAGCAGAGTGAAATCCTAAAACCTGGTACAAACACAAGGCGTGGATCTCCCCAGCCACCTCTCCACACTCTGGGTCCTGGCCTGCATGTAATCTGCCCCGGTACCTGCATTCTCACACTGCACACACTTCAGTTCACCTGCCAGCAGCTGCCAACAGCTAGAAGCATCTAGAGATGGAGGATGGGTCACAATTATTGTTCTGCAGCTAATGACTTTGTATGAAAACTACAGTGTAGGCTGCAATCTCAGCCTCGGCAGGAACAGCCTGCTCCTTCGTCAAGGCCCACGGGCTGTGACACTCTGCTGCTCTTGGACCACTTCAACTGCAAAGTCCTTTTTTTGAGTCCCATCAACACGGAATGAGCACCTTTGATGTCTCCACACCAGTTCATGGATGTCTAGTGTCCTCCTGTCGGGGACACCATCTCAGGAAAGAGGACCCGCACCTGGTGCTCTGAGCCTTACAGATGGAGATACTCTAGTTCACTAGCCTTGAGAAAAAACCAAGTCACTGCGTTCTAATAGGAGGCTAATGACAAGTCACTGTCACTTATCTCTTAAAGTGCTTATGTCTTCCATGTAAATGATTTGTAGCAGCCTGATTTAAACATTTTCTGCAGGGCCCACAGCATCTAACACAACGTCTTGCAACTAATGGGCACCAATAAATACCTAATTCATTAACATTAAGGAAAACAACACTTGTCATAGACGCCAAATGTCAGCTCTTCACAGGTGCCGAAATAGCAGCAAATTCAAGATCTAGCCCTTTATTATAAAAATGTGCTGTCTTGGTAGCCTAACTTTTGATTTGTGTGAACACGTCCCCCTAATCATTTAAATTATTTTTTCATAGCCCAGAAGAAACATTTCTTAAACTTCACATATATTTTTGGCTGTCAAATGACAGAAGACCTTTGGTGTCCCTGGAAGCACACGAACATCTCTCCAAATTACTGCTGTTATTGAAACATGCTCCAATTACCAAAATATCTGGGTTCCCACGGAGAAGTACAGCAAGCATTCAGTGTGCACACACATACATACCACAGATAAAGCAGTTACATTAATTCAGGTTAGAGTCAAACGCCCACAAACACGGAATCTGGCCAACAGCCTGTAACCACCATCAGTAAAGGGATTCCATAAAAGGAATCCACAACTCTGATAACTCATTTAAAATCACCTTCAGTCACTGCCTAGGTGCACCCTCTGGGTACCATGGCAGCCAGCTCAATGCTATACGTGTGTGTATATTTATTTATTTTACTCAGATAGAACTTTAAAATTTTTGATTTATGTGGAGTGTGGAAATAATAGAGCATGATTCTGACATATTCCCAACTGTCCATTAATTAAAGTCTTGAAGGGTTGGGACTACTGTTTTACATGTAATCTGTTCTCCCACCACCTAAATCCTCAATGACTAATGTAACCCAAAAAATCCACTTAGCTTTTCTGAAACTAGAAATCCAAGAAACATCAATACCTGCTGAAAAATCAAACAGAAACATTGTATTTTGCATGCTTTCCCATCCTTGTCCCTGAATAGAAGTTCCTAAAACTGAAACCCAGATACTGCTATCTTGGGAGGTCAGGTTTAGACTGTGTAAGTTCTCCAAAACAGGGCCTGGTCCAAGTACATCTGAGATTCTTCCTGAAGCAGCAGAGAACGTTAAGTACAAGCAAGAAGGAGGGGCTGAGATGCACAATAACTCTTTATTAATTATCTTAGAGATGGGCTGAGAAAAATCCCCAAAGGACTAATGTATTTTTCTCTTCTGTCCTCGAGGCTGAGCTGTAAGTTTCACTGTCCTGACTATACAGCTCTGGTTTCATGAGCGACTGAATTCCAAAATGTAGGGCAGAGGTAGATTCTAAGATACACACCCAAGAGAGAGTTTTGGGGGCGAGGCATCAACCTGAAAGAGTAAAGCCCCTCAAGCAAGCCAAACCACAGCAGAGACCCAGATTCAGGCACCTCTGCCTCAGAGAGTGCCCTCCTTGGGTTTCACACTCACTCATTTCTACTTTTTGCTGGGGGAGGGGAAGGGACACTCCACTGTCCTGCTTATCTCCAGGATCTCTCTGCACCCCACCCACTCTGGCCGAACATGCCCCAGGCCCACAGACCACAGCACTGCAACCGGCACCATCCAATCAAACACATCAGCTGCAGACCCTGGTCTCTTCCAGGAGGACCCCCCATTCCTTCTCACAATCCTGAGTATTCCTCACCCCCTTCAGCTCACCTACAGCAAGTGGCTGCCCCTTCTGAACCAAATCCCACTCTTCCCCATCCACAGGCTCGAGTCAACAGACCTTGCCTTCTGCATCACCTGCTAGCATCCCTTCCTAGACACACCCGACCTCCCAAGAGTGGACCCACACACCTTCCTCACACGCTCCAAGCCCGCACAGCCTCGGAGCCCGCACACCCTCCAAGCCCCTCTTCCGGGTCCCGCGCCTGGCCCGGCCTACGCGGCCTACAATGGGCGCCGCACAGGCCCGCGCCCCTCAGGAATGCGCGCCCGGCCGCAATACTCACCCGAGCGGCGGCGGCGGCGGCGGCGGGGCCCCGGGACCGGCTCCCAGAGCGGCGCGGCGCGGCGCGGCCCATGCGCTCAGCGGCGACGCGGCGGGCGGGACCGGGCGGGGGC